AAGAAATCATGCAAGAGTTGGAGTATTGGTCTGCTCTCATTGGCTGGGGTGCTGTCCCTTGGCTTTGGCATGAAAGAAAAAGGCTCGCAGAGTGGTTGGGTTGATGGGGCAATAGTGTTTGTGACCATATTTTTACTCCTCCTGTTTAGCTCAATACGAAACTGGTTCGAAGCAAGAAGAGCTAAGGAGAAACCACAGAAGGATGTGAAGGTAGGTGTTGTTAGAGGAGGAAAGGAGGTTCTGGTTTCTGTCTCTGATCTGGTTTATGGCGATTTAGTTTGTCTAAAGGCCGGGTGTCTAATTCCTGCAGATGGCTTATTCGTTTGTGGCGAAGGGTTAGAGATAGATGATGGCACATTATGCAGTGTATCCAATGAACAAAACCCATTCTTGTTTTATGGATCAAGAGTGGTTAAGGGTAGTGCCAAGATGCTGGTTATATCGGAGGGCTTGGATGATACCGTGTTGGGGGAGATGATGAGGGAGGCAATGAACTCCTCGTCGTCTACTCAGAAAAAGACGAATATTGAGACTTCCATTGACAAGTTGAGCGAGTGCATAAACGTAGGAGGGATTCTAATCTCGATTCTCATATGTGTGGTGGCGTTCTTGCGGTTCATGAAGGGGAAGATAGATGATGACTCTGGTGGGAACAGACCAGATTCTAAGGGAGCACCTACTGAGCTTGAAAGGATACTCCACTCCCTTAAGGTCATTTTCGCAGTATCAAAGGGAAATGCAAGAGTTTTAACAACCTTACTAGGTGTCTTACTGGTGGGAATCATGGAAGGGATACCTTTTGTTGTAGCAATAGCAATCGCACGGTGGAACTCAACGACACTATCGGATAGGGCCTCAGCCAAAGACGTATTGAGTTGTGTCAAGATGGCAAAGGTTACCACGATTTGCACCGACCAGAATGTTGGTTGGCTAAACCATACTACTCAGCAAGAAACACGAGACCTCGTGGAAAGTGGCATAAAGATCATACTTTTCTCCCAAAATGATGATGTTGCCGAGGTCAAAATGGTTAGCAGAGAGTGTGGGATATGTGAAACCGATGCTGAGGTACTTACCGGTGATGATTTGCAGAAATGTACCACCAACGAAGAGATGTTTGAGATGTTGGAAAGTGTCAAGGTTGTGGGGAAATGCAACTCGGCTCTCAAGCAACGTATCGTGAGGTGTTTAAGAAGTAAAGGTGAAGTGGTAGCGGTGGTGGGAGAGCGATCTTATGATGCCCCGATGATGAAAGAAGCTGCGATTGGATTGGCCATAAAGACTGAGTTCTCAGAGATAACCATAGACAGTGCTAATCTTGTTATTGTGAAGGGGAGCTTCGGTTTGTTGATAGACATGATCATTTGTGGGAGAATTATCAATGAGAATTTGCAGAAGTTTATCCAAGTTGAAGTGATCATGACCATAGCTAGCTCACTCATAAACTTCATCTCAGCACTTTCCTCGGGCGACACCCCGTTATCCCCAATCCAACTATTCTGGATTTACTTCCTAATCTCATTCCCAGGAGGCCTGGCATTGCTGTCTGGCCAACCAAACAAAAACCTCCAGGACACAATTAGACCAACCGGGCCACTTATAACCAAGACAATGTGGGTGAACATACTACTCCAATCCTCCTATCAGATTGCCATTTGTGTGACCCTTCAGCTCAAAGGAACAGCTATCCTTGGAACCAGCAAAGAGGCTAATGAATCTATGATCTTCAACGCCTTCGTCCTTTGCCAGATGTTTAACATATTCAGTGCCAGGGAGCTGAAAGAGCTGAACATTTTCAAGGGCATCGGTCAAAACTCTTGGTTTTGGGTCGGATCAGGTGCGTTCGTTGTGATTCACGTTTCGTTGGTTGCAGTGGATCAGACCATTGCCAGTGATGCAGGACTTAACTGGAAACAGTGGGTTGGGTGCTGCTTAATTGGGGCTGGTACATGGCTTCTGGATTTGGTAGCAAAGTTCCACACCACTGAAATGGCAATAAGACATTGGACTCCAAAGCTCATCAGAATTTGCAGTTCAACTCCAGAGTCCATTATGTCTAATCTCCAAAACCCACTTATGACTACTGGATCAACACCCAACACAGTTCAAGGCAACTCTTCAGGTTGAATCTGTAGCTACCTAGCTAGTTCTAGTTTCAGGGCTTAATCTTACATGTCTAGAATAACCTTATGCTTTCTCTGTTCTTGTAATTCACTTCCATGTATAGTTCCTCCCACTTTGGTTAGTAATGCTATGGCATTCACAGTGATACTAATAGTCTAATACTGTCTCACCCCTTCACGCATAATTGTTCTACTATCAAATTAAACTATAGAATGCATAAAGAAAACCATGAAATAAGACACTAATAGGTAGGGAAATGCAATTTTGGTCATAGGGGTGGTGGAGTATTCATATCAGAGAGAGAAATTTTGGTCTTACCTGAGATTGGGTTAGCAGAAAATGGAGAGAACAAATTGGGAGGGATGAAAGCTTTGTCCAGAGTAATACACAGTTTGGAAGACTCCAAGGTAGAGATTTCGGCTAAGTCAACGTTGCCCATCTTAAGTCTTCTCAATGTAATAAACAATTAGGGGATGTTTGGTTCATGGAAAATGTAATAAACAATGACATTAACTTCATTTAAAAAAGAAAAAAAATTGTATTTTTGGTCTCTGAGTTATATTTATGTTTCGACTTAGTCTCTTAGTTATGACCGTATCCGTTTTTAGCCCCATAGTTATGAGCGAAATAGAGAGTTTAGTCTCTGATGTTAGTATTCCGCCTACAATTGACGAAAAACTTAAAAACAATTTAATATAAGAGGGGTAAAATAGGAATTTTAGTTGTTAATCCCCTTCTTATGTTGAAACTCATTGTGCAGTAGTATTTTATACTTTCAGGCGGCGAAATTGAAGGTTCTTCCACTTCCAAGCTGCGAAGTTCATAGAAAAAATTGCTCTATTTTATATGTCCAAGTAATTAAATATTAAATATTCTCCGTATTGATGAACTAATTTAGCCATTATTTATAGGATGTCATCTCTTAGTTGTGGTACTTCATCTTTACCCGAATTTAGAGATGATTTTCGATGTAAATATGGTGATTTATTACCCATGAAAATGTCATAGAGTTATGCTAATCCGGGTAAAAGATACCAAGCTTGCCCATGTTATGGAGTACGTTTTTTTACTTGTCTAAAAATTATAAATTAAGTTGTGTTTTATAAATAGAATTGAGTCAAGGACCTTGTGGTCCAATGACACCAAGTTGCCCCCTCATAGGGGAGGTTGTAGGTTCTCGCCTCAGTAGAGGCGATATTGGCTCATACTACATTGCAATAGACAATGGCGGATCTAGCCTATATCTAATACATGTTTTAGTATATCCATTAAAAAAATAGATAAGAATTAATAAGAGGTTGTTAGATCGGGTGGCAAAGCACATGAATCTTGTCATATGGTTTTATTCAACACAGCTTTAATAATGTGTTTTCTATTCCAATTATTTTATCAAATTAATTATGTTTCATATTTTGTTGTGAATATATTCCAATTATTTTATCAAATTAATTATGTTTTTTTTTGTCAATATTTTTATAAGAGTTAATTCCACCAGAAGTCTCTTGTCTTTGTTGTCAATTTCAAATTTAGTCACTCACTATTGTTTTTGTCATTTTACATCCTAGACTATCGAGTTTTGGACACTTTTAGTTATTCTCATGATTTTTTTATTTTTAGTAAGGATATTTTTGTCTCTTCATATTTTTCTTTTGTTATTTTTTTGATTTCAACCAGTTTAATTGGTTTAGAACTTGATAACCTCTGATTTGTAGTAACCATATTTTCAACTAAGTTGTGTTTTATAAATATAATTGAAATATTAAAATTTGATTTTTCAAAAAAAACTGGAAGTTGTGGAGTTTTTAGATGGGTTGATATGAAGTTGTTTCAATGTTTGTCCAAAATGTAGTGCACCGAAACAGGAAATGTTTGAAGTCTGTAAAAAGTAATAAAATGAGAATGACATTGCGATTCTGTCCTGGACCACTTTCATTTCTTCCAGCCCCAGATTATAACCCAATACATCGAATGGTGTTGTCTTTATCAGCTTCAGGTCCTTCTTCAATTCATTGCCAAACAAACATTCATCCATGTAGGAGCTATCTTTTTCAGAAGTCCTTAACAAACATATAAAGGCAATAAAGACCGTATGTTAAAGAAGAAGAAGAGGAAATACTATTAATTGGTAAATGAAAATTTATGCGTACCTTGTTAACAATGACAGGAGAATTTCCAATTGGATCAATGTCTGTCAGTTATTGGCCCCTTCTCCTCTGGGAAGAACTTCCTAAGAATAGTCCCAAACAAGAACTTCCTAAGAATAGTCCCAAACTTTTTGGGTTCAATGTAAAAGAAAGGGAATGCAGCTCCGAGGCCATTCTTAACTCATTCAAAGTTCAACATTTGTTTCTGTTCTATATTATTAATATTGGGAATAAAAGGGGAATGTAGTTCCTTTTATATATATATATATATATATATATATATAAATTTAAAAAGAAAAACAGAGCATACTTGAATTGATACCACAGTAAATTCAAGATTTTATACCTAATGATAATCACAAAAACTCTTGCACCATTTCATATGTTTATTGAAATATCTAATGAACAAAAAACTGTCTTAAGTGGTTTAATCATTGTTTTTGGTTTATAAAGGAAAAATATGAACACCTGTAAGGCTGTAACCGTAACCAACTGAAACAAAACAAAAAAAAAAAAAAAACATATATCAATGAGAAAAGCCAATATTATTTACTAATGTCATATCTATCATATTATATCAGTGGAAACAGCACAAAGAATCCTCCTAGAAGTCAGCTAAGCTAAGCTAATCTGCACAATAACAACTAACTAAGATTTGGGCATTGAAAACAACACAGAGAATCCTCCCAGAAGTCAGCTAAGCTAAGCTAATCAGTACACAATTACAACTAACTAAGATTGGGCATTAAACTTGTGGAAGAAGAAGCCTACTTTTTCAAAGTCCCACATCAACCCAATGCTATCACCCTCCTTCAAATTCCTTCTCTTCACGAACTCCATACGCCAATTGCTGGTTAGCAGAAAGCTCCCAGTCTTCCATTGCTTCAGCCTCAGATCGTGTTCCGAAATGGTGTCCAAATCCCACACTTTCACTCCCAATCCTGCCGTGCTTTGACAAGCCGCCCGCCTCTCATCATCCATCAATGGAAGGATGTATTTCCTCACATACTCCTTATCCAGCAACAGCCTCGACGAATCATTCACATCGCTCAAACTTAGTCGCTTCTTTATCCACTGCCCGTCCCCTTCCCCCTTCTGTTTCTTCGCCCCTCCCTCATCTGATCCGGATTTATCGGTTCCGGAATCTCCAATTTTCTCCCTTTTGCGTTTCAGTGAGGGAAACTTGTCCTCCAAGAAATCCCCAAATATCGCAGAAACCGGAAAGAGATCAAGATCAAAGGGGGGATTTGAAAGAGTTGATGGAGACAAGAGCGTAAATGCGAATTGTTGGAATTGGGTAGGGCAGAATTAGCCGGCGATTGTTGATCGGCGTTGAAACACCAAACAGAGGGACAGAGATCAACGCCCGACGGCTTCCTTGCCTGGGAACGAGAAGTTCCCGGAGATGGGTGTGGAGTGAGGCAGAGGACGGTGGAAACAGAGTGATCCGCCATGTTTGTTGGTGAAGAAGAAAGGCTATATATATTATCCACTGCACTCTGTTCGTTAATGGCGGAGAATGAAACTCAACAGAGAATTGAAGCGCCGCAAAAACGAATGAACGGAAAGTGCAGAAGATGAGTGAGGGCGGAGGCGCCTACTTATAGCGGCACAACGGAGCCCTAATTCCGGTGGGATTAAGGCGGCGTAGAAGAAGTAGCCGTTAATGGAAGCCATGACGCGGCGGTTTTCAAATTCAGAATTTATTACTCCCTAACAAACTTCTTCCGCCAAAGATTAAGAAACAAAAGGATTAAGAAACATAAGGATTAAGAAACAAACGTCTTTTTACTCATTTCTTGGGATCATTTCTTGCTTCGAATGACTGAGGTACAGCCAAAGGAACCCACCAAACTCCGACCCATTTGGTTTTCTTGATTTTATATTTGATATTATTTAAAATTTAATATCCTATTTATTATCATATTTTGTAAACATCTTGTTTATCTAACTATTATTTAAAGATTTTGTAAATTTTAATTTTAATATTAAATAAATTTTAATGTCCTTTTAATTTAACTATTTCATTTTATTTTTTTTAAAAAATAAAATTATATTACGGAGTATTTAAATTTTATTTTTTTTAAATAAAGTCTAATAAATTTTTATTTTACTATTCTATTAATTTTAATTTTAATATTAAGTAAATTTTAATATTTTTGTTATTTTAATATTAAATAAATGTAAAAAACTTTTGGATTCAATTTTAATAGTTCCTCATATAAAAAGAAATAAAGAATCATTAGTATAGGCGTTGATTTGTGGACTGACTAAAGACTTAAAAGGAACAGAACATGCAATAGCTGATCATCCAAAAGTTAGAGTGCAAATAATTGATATGAGGTGTATTTACAAGTTTATTCTTAATTAATCGAGAGATCATGATTTACTCTCAATTACCGCCTCAAGGGTGAAAGGATAATTTGTTCTACATGAAAAATATCTTGGAACTACCCTCATCCATTTCGTTTTAGAGAGAGAAAACGATAATGGTTATGCTAGAGATCAAAAATTAATTGGAAGCTCTCTACAAGAGTTACTCAAGAAATATTCTGAAAAAATACTTTCTCAATATATTCTTTGAAGATTGAAGCTGATAAGATCTTGAGAAAGAAACAAGATATTTTATTTTTTTTATTGGACCGTATTTCATATTAGCTCTGGTAGAGCAATGAGTGAATCCGTGAGATGAACAGCGAGGCTATGAATCTCCAATCTTCTTCGGACAGCTTAAGCGTGGATCTCCGAGCTCAACAATCCATCTACAATGACTTGCAGATTGGATACTTACAGTGTTGGTATATTACATACTGGAGAGATCATTCACTTACCGTATGTCGGAATAGCTTTTGAGAAAGTGGATTAGATTCAGTGTTGGTGGCCCCCCGATGTATATGTGATTACATCAAATTGGGTCTTTTTACGAATTATCAATAAATCTTTGTGTCTTGATTGCATTTACTTACTGTTTGATTAATCTTTACTCCGTAATTGATAATCTGAACCATTAATGGGCTAATCAATAAATTGACTTTGAACACATAGTTTAAGAAATTGTAATTGCGTTAAACATTTTACTGTTTGATTAGTTTGCTGCACAAATTTCTAATATGTTCTTAACGACTTATTAAACCTAATTTGAGTCAGTGTTCGTAATCAAGTTAAACAGTTAAGTGTTAATATATGAATCAAGATTTTATCAAGAATCTCTTACTCTCAATATTAAAGGTAAAAACGGCTAGAATAAATCCCCTTCAAAAATGAATATGACAAAATATCAAAATTTGATATAAATCACAAATACATTGGTAAAAAAGCTATAATAAAGCTTCTCCCCAGTTATGAAGGTGTAGAAAAAGCTAAAATAAAGAAAGTGTTGCTAGTGAGGTTTGAATCCATGAACTATGTCACCAAGTATATGACGGTCCAACCAACTAAGCTACAATAGTTATACCATGGACCCAGGTTCACCATGCAAGGTGGACTCAAGTCCAAAATACACAATTTACATACTGAATGTTCACAATTTATATACTGAATGTTCACAATTTGAATTGTGAACCTTTAGTATGTAAATTGTGAATATTTAGTATGTAAACTTATGAAAATTCAGTACATAAATTATGAACATTCAGTATGTAAATTGTGTATTTTAGACCCGGGTCTACCTTGCAAGATAGACCCGGATTCACATAATAATTTGCCACTAAGCTACCTACACATCTAATTACTTAGTAGAGTTAATTTCACTTTTAGTCATATGACTATTGAGCTCTTGTTAATTTCAGTCCATGAATTTCAAAATTGTCAATTTAGTACCTTAACTATTCAATTTTTTTCAATTTTGATCCATCCGACCAATTTTTGAATAAAAAATACCTAAAAAGACAAATTTACCCTCAATTTTTTTAAAATAATAACTGAAAAGATAAATTGTGTACTGTTTCAAGTTGGGTATCATCCACAGTATCGCATCTTGACGGAGCTCCGCTGCAACAAGGTTGTGGCTCGTTCTATGAATGAATGTAACAAATGTTCAATTTCCCGTGCATCAATGCTCTCTTCATCATCCTCGTCCTCTGAACATCTATTGACTTTCACCTTTTTCAGAGTTAACAAAGATTAGTTTTAGGCACGATTTGCCAAACACCAAACATCAACCTCCTTTGTTGCTCTCTGTTCTCCATTCTCACCGGATTTAATGGTGGATATATATATATATATATATATATATATATATATATATATATATATATATATATATATATATATATATATATATATATATATATATATATATATATATATATATATATATATATTCAATGAAACAGAAACTTCACGGGAAAACAGAGGGACAAAATGATTTTAAGAAAACAGAAAAGAAATCAGCGAAATTGATTCCCATGGAATTGGGATTTCATGTATATATAAAATTAGCTACAAAATTGTTTCGCTGGGAAACTGAGGACCGTCTAGATGAACTTAGCCCTCTGTTCTCCATTCTCACCGGATTTAATGGTGGATATATATATATATATATATATATATATATATATATATATATATATATATATATATATATATATATATATATATATATATATATATATATATATATACACGTAGGCCAACGTTCTGGAAAGGGTCGGCGAGAAACTGTCGTCGGCAATAGCAGGTGGAAAAACAAATTTAAAATACTTCGTATTTTTAAAATTTGAGGGTAAAATTGTCTTTTCAGTTATTTTTTGCCGAAAATTTGGTGGGATGGATCGAAATTGAGAAAAATTAAATATTTAAGGTACTAAATTGACAGTTTTGAAATTCATGGATTAAAATTAACAAGACCCCAATAGTCATATGACCAAAAGTGAAATTAACTCTTACTTAGTATATTTTAGAATAATATCGATTCAAGATGTGTTTTTTTTTTTTTTTTTTTTTTTTTTTTGGTGAATATATTACAGAAATAGTAAATTTAATTAGAATGTTGCAAAAACTAGGAACACTATTTAATAAAAGGGGAAAATGCAATTTTAGTTCTCAATTGGTCTTTGCTAGCGGTTTCAGTTAAAGAATAAAAATGAAAAATACAAGAAAAATAAAATAAAAATAGAATAAAGATGCATTTAACTATCAACAAGATGACAGTATACTATAACAAAGCATATCTTGGCACATGAAAACTACGTAGCCTGTGGTAAAGAGAAAACTATTGGAATGACAAGATTGAACATTAGCTTAGTACTGGAAGTTCAAGATATTATGGTCCTCTGGGATGGTGGATGAGATCATGAGAACGAGCTTTGTGTTAGGCACTAAATTGTCGATGTATACAACTATACCTTCTGATAGTGTAGAGAGGAGATAATTAGACTATAACGCTTGCTTGGAACCCCAGTTGGGAATGTTAGCAGTGGCTTCATTTACTCAGGGACGGAGCCAGAAATTCGGTTGAAGGGGGGCCAAAATAGTATAGACGGATTCAGAAAATTTTTCCAGGCAAAACATTAAAACAAAAGAGATAATTTAAAAATAAATAAATAAATTACCCAAGAAATATAGTTGTAAATATTGTTGGATATTGACGAAAAATGAAACACATCGAAACTTTATAAAAATATTCATAACGAAATATGAAACATAATTAATTTGAATAGAAAATACATTATAAATTATACATCTTATTATTAATATAAAAGAATGTTTATATATATATATATATATATATATATATATATATATATATATATATATATATATATATATATATATATGTGTGTGTGTGTGTGTGTGTGTGTGTGTGTGTGTGTGTGTGTGTGTGTGTGTGTGTGTGTATTAAATATTAAAAAAGAATTCATAGGGGAATGAGTAAACAAAATTGTAAAATTATGTTAATGCCAAGATTTGAACCCTTAAAACCTTGTTATTATTGCCAAATATGTACTCTACCACCTAATCTAACTCACTTCTTATTAATATATTATAGTTTTTTTATACTAATACTAAAACATGTACTATATATACATATATGCATACAAAGACTATATATGGGGTGTGGGTGAGGTAAGGTGGGCAGCTGCCCCTAGTGGCGAACGCAGAAATTTTGTCCAGTGGGGGCGAAATATTAAAACAAAAGAGAGAGTTTGAAAAAAATAATAATAAAACACTTAAAAGTATAATCATAAATATTATTCGATATAGCAAAAAATAAATAAATATGTAGGTGACCAGGACTATGTGGTCCAATGGTACTCGGGTTGGACTTCCATTTGGAAGGTTGTAAGTTCGAGCCTCAGTGGAGGCGTTATTAGCTCTTTGTGTTTCAGTAGGTTGAGAAAGTATATGAACAGATACTACAATGTAATAGAGCTAGTAGCATTCAAAAAAAATAAATAAATAAATATGTAGGTGTATATGAAAATCTCACTATTAGGTTGTGTGTGAGAATGTCACTATTAATATTTGAAAAGCCAAAATTTAAAGAGGTATTTAATTGATGTGTAGAAGCAAAGCCAACCAAAATATAACAATGTTAAACTAAGGGAAAAATAACTGTATTAGAGAAAGGATTCAAACCCGCGCCAATCCTAAGAGTCAAGCGCATGTCTTTCCATCTGGTCTATGACATCCTTTGTTTATAATTATATGTTTTCTTTTACTAATACTAATATATGTACTATATATACATACATATATATACAAGTGCTATATATAGGGGGGGAGGGGGGAGGGGGGAGGGGGGAGGGGGCAGCTGCCCCCACTGTAGGTCCGCCCCTGTCTGCCCTCCCTTTGGCTCCGTCCTTGGAGGCATGAAAACAAGACTTACTATACACGGTAGACAGTGCAAGGATCGAACTTCAGATCAATATTCAGAGTTTAGGGTTTATAGTATCTATATCCGTTATAGTTTTTTGTTCAATTTTTTGTAAACCTCAACATCTACTTCATCATCTACTATCTCACTCAATCACAAAATTTTATTTTTTTTTCATATTAGTTTGTGAACTTACCATTTTCTATCCTATATTTTACTTATTTCTTTATTTATTTAAATTATGAAAATTAATTAAAATAAACATATTTACATTTAATTAAAATGATAATTCTAAACATTTAAATTAATTTTTGTTATTACTCTATTTATTTTAATAATTTTAATTTTAATTGTAATTAAATCATTCAAAAAATATATATTACATAATTGAAATATGTGAAAATTTTAAAATATAAATAATAAAATAATAAAAACAAACAAATTAAATGTTAAAAGAATTGTTGTGTTACTGCAAAACGGATAAGAATTTGTTTTTTTTTTTTTTTTCTAAATAAGAAATATTAAAAGTGTCCGTCAACTGGCGACCACTACCAACAATACACGCACAAGATCAGATTCTATAGCTTTTCTCTCTCTTCCGAAGCTCACAAAAAACAATTACTCCAATTTCTCCACTCTCTTCCAAATCATCACTCTCACTTTCAACTCATATTAAAAAAAAAAAAAATGAAAAAATCACTAGTGTGAATACTCTTATCCTAAAGCTACAAAAGTCATCAAATATAATTTTTACTTATTTTTTATTCTATTAATGTCGACGCAAAGAGTTGCACATTATTTTTATTATTTTCTTTTTCTTATTAATAAAATTATCACACGTGATCAAAGATTTACTTCATAGGAGTTTATATATCATTTTCCTTTGTATTTAAAATATTACTTTCTATCTACTCAAGCATCCAATAATTAATAGTCATATATGGTTCTTTCTATCTACTCAAGCATCCAGGGATTAATAGTCATGGTAACGAAGAAACCAAAATGAAATTTTCCCTCCGACAAATTAAAGTAGCTAATATTGTTGATAATGTTAATTGATTCAGGATATGATCGAGAATGCAACTAGGAGGTGGTAAATTGACTATTAAAATTTTCAATTTTAGTGCATGACTATTCAATTTGTATTACATTTAGTCCTTAACTATAAACATTTTTAAATTAGGTTCATGATTATTCAACTAATATCACATTTTTCGGTCAAAATTTCAGCTATTTCTTTGTGTCTCTAGCAATCTCAAAGTTTCTTTTTGATCCGATCAAATAATGAAAAAATCGTGACTTACATATTCTTAAGTACCCCTTGGCATGAAAACAAAAAAAGGTTTGTGACACTGAACTCGACTCCCAATAGATGAAAATCAGAAATACCTTTGAGTTCATACTCCTCGATACATAATCGAATGTTCGGGCTAATTTATTTAATTTTTATTTTAAATAAATTTTATTTTATTTTATTTATAAATTTATTGATTTAAAATAAAAATTAAATAATTAGTCGATTACTTAGTCAGAATTTTGACCAAAAAATTTAACGGCAGGACTAAATGTAATACAAGTTCAATAGTCATGCACCTAATTTGAAAATGTTAATAATCAAGGATCAAACGTGATACAAATTGAATAGTTCATGCATCAAAATTGAAAACTTTAATAGTCAAGGATTAAAACTGATACATGTATTATAGTCGAGGGACTAAAAATGATATTCTTTCCTTCCGGGTGCAACTCTCAATTTTCAACTCATCTTCTCCTATTAAATCAAAACCAAGAGCTTCAAATGTTTCAACAACATCTTTCTTCAGATTTTTGGCCCAAAATGTGACGGAATACGCCATACCCGCAACAACCTCGCACAGTACCTTCTGTAAGCTCACAAACTCGTAAGTTTCTCCTGACTGTTAAAAATTAAAGGAATTAGGGAGTGAGTCAGCTGAGTAATTAATAAGTAATTATATATTAAAACATTGAAAAAAAAACTGGCATAATTTGTATGTATACATACCTGACTATTCTCGTAATGAGTAAGAGCCAATTTGCAGAGACGACGGATCACAGGGCCCTCTTTTTTAAGGCCTTCAGATGAAATTTCAAGCATTACGTTCACCCACTAAAACCACAATATTCAAACAAATTAATGAAATGGGTGGATGGATTTGAAATGAGATGAGCAAATCGGTAATAACAAACGCATACCGCATCATCATCATCACTCCAAACATAGTCTTCTTCATCCATCTCGTAATTCTCGCTATCCCGTTTCGGGTTCTTCTCCGTCCGATCGGAGATACCAGACGTGTTAGCGGCCATGGCTATTCCTCAAATCCAAACAAATAATCAACCCCTTTATTGAATTGAATGGCAGCCCTTAGGCTTTACTTATAGGGAGTGTTTTCCGGGCAACCCAATTTTTACTTAATTTTTATGATGTTTGTTTTGATTTCATCTAACAAAAGAGTGAATTATTATTGTTTTTAGTATTCTCTTTCTCACACTTCACCATAAATTTACTGAATTGGAGTCCACATATCATTTTTTTCTTAATGTATTTATTTATAATATTTCTTTAAATCTACGACTCAAGCATCCAGGGATTTAGTGATATGAGGAGTCTTTGGATCAAGGTACATGTTGCAACATACACCCAATATATACCAAATTTAGTTATGAGTATGTATAACTGGATAAAAAATCAGTTACGGACAAAAATTAAGTTAATTATTTTTTAATTAAAATATTTCAGTTTAATTAATGATTAATTTTTTTTAATTTAAATTAAGAGTTAATTCAATTTGAAAGTGACAATTAATTGGATTGCGTGTGTTTTTTAATTTGTTGTCATTCATAATGATTTACCATCTTCATCAATGTAACATGCAACATTAGTTCAAAATTGCTAGTGAAACTAAACTCGATAAATGAGGTCAAAGGTAAAGATTCCTATACTTTTGGGTGTACTTAGTTAATGAGGAACAAGTTTTAGTGACATATAGTTATACACACGGTTAAGAGTCCCACAATGTTAATCCATTATTTCTGAATTGAGCAAATACTAATTTTGGTCTCACGAGTATTAGCAAAATGACAGTTTTGGTCCACATGTTTAATTTCTACCAATTTTCATCCACGACTATTGTTTTAGTACCAATTTTCATCCACAACTATTGTTTTAGTGCCAAAATTCATCACGCCGGTCACCCTTTCGTTTAAGACATGCCGGAATATGAATTTATTAAGGGTACTTTCGTGCTTTTCAAATTAGGATTCATATTTGACCATGAATAAAGAGATTTAAGCCCTAAGATCTATCTCAATTCGCAGTTTTCCTCCTCAAATTAATGTAGGATGAGGAGGAGAGCTGCGAATTGGGATCAATCTTTGGGCTTAAATTCATTTATTTATGCTCAAATTGGAATATTAAGTTGAAAAGGACGAAAATGCCCTTAAAATTTTTAGATTTCGGGATGTTTTAAATAGATGGGTGACCGACGTGATGAATTTTGGTACTAAAATAATTGTCGTGGATTAAAATTGGTACAAAAGCAATAGTCGTGGATGAAAATTGGTAGGAATTAAACATGTGGACTAAAACCGTCATTTTGCTAATACTCGTGGGACTAAAATTGGTATTTGCTCTTTCTGAATTTGCTGCAATCCAAAATTACATTTTATGCAGCTATGTATCCGAGTACCTTACTAATTGGATATGCAGGAAGAATATCCAGAGAAGCAGATGAACAAGCGGCACTGTTGCTGTTCTAACCTTCAATCCATAGTAAGGAATTATGGCATGTGGCAAAATCTGTATAAATGCAGAAATATTAGTTAGATCAGAACAATGGTAGGTTGAAGATATGAGCAAATATGTACAGTATTACCTCTGCAAACATGAGAAGCAGTGTGATAGAGACAAGGATTGCAGCCCAGGAAGCGAGAATATTGTCCAAGAATATGGGAAGAGACTAAAGAAAAATAGTGAAGAGAATCAAGAAAACGAAATAATGTTAACAGACCAACAGAACTAACTAACTGCCATCAACAAAATGATGTTGTTGTTCTGCAGACCTCCATTGACAGCCCGTTGACAATCAGGAGTGTGTAGAGCAAAAGGTACTACCTTTTCACCACCGAGAGGATCTTATATCCACATCCATTTTACAAGATGAGCGTGGTCTCTAGGGCGCCCGAATTGCTGGGAACTTCAAGGTCGATGCAGGGCACCCGGATTGCTAAGAACTTCAAGGACAAGATGAGCGTGGTCGCCCAGGTTGCTGAGAACTTCAAGGTCGATGCGCGGCGCCCGGATTGCTGAGAACTTCAAGGTCGATGAGGCTAAGAGACATGAAGCCGAGGGTGGTCTCTAGGGGGCACCCGGATTGCTGAGAACAGGCTATGAGACATGAAACCGAGGGTGGTCTCCGGATTGCTGAGAACTTCAAGGTCGATAAGGCTAAGAAACATGAAACCGAGGGTGGTATCTGGGGAGCCCAGATTGTTGAGAACAGGCTAAGAGACATGAAGCCGAGGGTGGTCTCTAGGGGGTGCCCAAATTGCTGAGAACTTCAAGGTCGATGAGGCTAAGAGACATGAAGCCGAGGGTGGTCTCTTGGGGGCACCCGGATTGCTGAGAACTTCAAGGTCAATGAGGCTAAGAGACATGAAGCTGAGGGTGGTCTCTGGGGGGGGGGGGCGCCCGGATTGGTGAGAACAGACTAAGAGACATGAAGCCAAGGGTGGCCTCCGGATTGCTGAGAACTTCAAGGTTGATGATGCTAAGAGACATGAAGCTGAGGGTGGTCTATGGGGCGCCCAAATTGCTAAGAACTTCAATGTCGATGAGGCTAAGAGACATGAAGCCGAGGGTGGTCTCTGGGGCGCCCGGATTGTTGAGAACAGGCTAAGAGACATGAAGGCGAATGTGGTCTCCGGATTGCTGAGAACTTCAAGGTCGATGAGGTTAAAAGACATGAAGCCGAGAGTGGTCTCTGGGGCGCCCGGATTGCTGAGAACAGGCTAAGAAACATGAAGCCGAGGGTGGTCTCTAGGGTGCCCGGATTACTGAGAACTTCAAGGTCGATGAGGCTAAGAGAAATGACGCCGATGATGGTCTCTGGGCGCCGGGATTGCTGAGAACAGGCTAAGAGACATGAAGCCGAGGGTGGTCTCTTGGGCCGGATTGCTGAGAACAAGCTAAGAGACATGAAGCTGAGGGTGGTCTCTTAGGCCGGATTGTTGAGAACAGGCGAAGAGACATGAAGCCGAGGGTGGTCTCTAGGGCGATTGTTGAGAACAGGCGAAGAGACTTCACCATGAAGCCGAGGGTGGTCTCTTGGGCCGGATTGCTGAGAACAGGCTAAGAGACATGAAGCTGAGGGTGGTCTCTTAGGCCGGATTGTTGAGAACAGGCGAAGAGACATGAAGCCGAGGGTGGTCTCTAGGGAGATTGTTGAGAACATGCGAAGAGACATGAAGTCGAGGGTGGTCTTTAGGGCGCCCGAATTGCTGAGAACATGAAGCCGAGAGTGGTCTCTAGGGCACCCAAATTGCTGAGAACAGACTAATAGGACATGAAGCCGAGGGTGGTCTCTAGGGCGATTGTTGAGAACAGGCGAAGAGACATGAAGTCGAGGGTGGTCTTTAGGGCGCCCGAATTGTTGAGAACAGGCGAAGAGACATGAAGTCAAGGGTGGTCTTTAGGGCGCCCGAATTGCTGAAAACAGGACATGAAGCCGCTGGGGCGCCCGAATTGCTGAGAACAGGACATGAAGCCGTTGGGGCGCCCGAATTGCGAGACGAAGCTTGAGGGTGGTCTGACCCGAGACATGAAGCCGAGGGTGGTCTCTAGGGCGCCGCTGGGGCGCCCGGATTGCGAGACAACCCCAAAATTTTAGAAATCACTCTATCAGAGCCAGGTTTCGATCCTGGGACCTGTGGGTTATGGGCCCACCACGCTTCCACTGCGCCACTCTGATTTGTTGAATATTGAGCTATTATTTATGTTTATTAATGTCTACGACTTCTCCGTTTATCCACTGTAAATAAAAGGTCTCAATACACTGACTTACACAAGATAGAGCGGAGCGGTTGGCTAACCGATTACTTGCCCATTCACAATTTTTCCATTTGTATTAGAAATGTATGTTCGTACATCTATCTACTATATCTACTATACTAATAAGAGTTAATAAATTTAAGTCTATAACGAGAATTAAAAAATGTCTGTTCATAAAATGAATAATTCATATTATTTTGATTTTAGTATTTTTTTAAAAAAATTTCTAATTTACCATCTATTATATTATTTTCTTCCCTTAAATATCCACGCATTTCGTTAGCAAGGCCAATTTTTAGATTTTTGTGGCCCTGTTCGGGTAAATAAATGAGGCCCTACCAAAATCACAACCTTTAAAACCAATATCGTAATTTTTTCTAATAATAATAATAATAATAATAATAATAAGGTGGTAAAATGTTATAGTGCACAAAAAAAAAAAAAAAAAAAAAAAAACAAAAGACATATTATGGAATAAATTGCAACAACAACAACAACAACAACAATAATAATAGTGTGAGCAAACTCGCAATGCAAAACGATTAATAGAAATAGAAGAGACGCAAGTTTCAAGCCTATAACCTCGAAGTTGAAATACAATAAACACATATTCTTACCATTACTTCATAGAGTCTTTTACATTTAATTGAAAACTTTTAATTTTTATTTCTACACTAGCTAGGTAAAATTTAAATATTGGGCCTCTAAAATTTGGGGCCCTGTGCTGTAGCCCAGCTTGCATAGCCCAAAATCCGACCATGTTCGTTAGTATAAACTTTAGTAACGAATTATTCCGTTAACTATTTATTATTCTTACTTATTGATTTTTATAAGAACGGTCTTAGATGTTCAAACCTCATCCCAATAAAAGTTGGCATTCAAATTCATTAATTAATTATATTAACTATATTGTCCATTGTCTTTTTTTAAACTATCTTATTTTAATTAAATATCAATGTTATAATACAAAGTAATGTTATATATTTATTTACCTAAGTATTTTTTTAATACCATGAAGAAAATAAAAAATAGTTTGAAGCCAATCATATTAACTATTTGGGGAGGATTTATTGACAAAGAGGGTATTCAAATAACCCAAGAAATTGAAGTGGAAAACTACCCCATTACATCTCTAGACTACATCACATGTTCACTTTAAAGGAAAATCGTATTTTTTTTTTATTAAGATGATTTAAAATGTATAAAATTTTACTACTTTATCTAATCTTATTTCTTAAAAATAAACTAGGAATTCCTATATCTATAAGAACTCATTCAACAATAATGGTTGAACTAAAAGTATCTCGAGCAAAACACCTAAAGAATTGGTATGCTTTTATGCTGATAATAATATGTAAATGATAATTAGATCATTATCTTACATAGCAACATTTAAAACTCATTATTAAAAATATCAATGTAGGGAAATAGAACATCGTAACACATTTGATGAATTAAAAAGATGCCAAGACTACACCAATATTGCAATCAATCTTACAAATCCAAGAAAAGAAGAAATTTCAAAAATAGCCACCGTTGCGACATCCATTGATCTTGTATTCATGTATGTAAAATGTTGATTGCGCATCCTTTAAATATATTAGAACTGAAATAAATTTACAATTCATTTCATTTTCTAGACTCAACCTACTTGGAGTAAAGGAAAAATCAGCATTAACCTTGACAACAATAACACTTGGGGTATAGGATTTAGCCACTGTTGAAAAAATATTTATGGACAAAGTGGAAAATTATTTAACTGCATGCATTTGTAATAAAAAAGCAACAGTTGGGTACTCCAAGGTTAGTATCAATTCAACAACAAAAAAGAATTACAAAAAACACATACACGCACGCACACACACAAAATAAAGTACTATACTCATTTTAGCTATAAAAAAGTACTATACTCATTCATACTAATTTTAAAAATATGAACTTCAAAATTAACATGTGCAAAATGGATGTGAAAATTGTTGATGAAATTGGACACATTGCAGCATCAGTATTCAGACTACTTGCAAAGTCATTGTTGTTACTGTCAAGTAAACTAGTTATGAAATTATAACAAAAGGTACTACTCATGAACCTTCTACAAATATAATAAATATTACTCCGTAATATTTTGTTCAATACTTTTACATGAGAATTTAAAACTAACACACTTCTCACAACACATGAAATATGTAAGGGAAAAAACAATCGCCGCCAAATATCAACAGGCGTTTGCAAGATCAAAAGTTATAGTTCAACGAATAGTAATTATCACCCCTATTACTATGTAGACTAGAACATTAAAATATACACTTCTCATAATTTTCAAAAATGCATTAAATTAAAAACCCTATGTTGTGTTTTGGAGACAAGAAAGAGGAGAATTGAGATCTACAAGTTGTCTTGGGAAGCAAGAAAAAAAACTACCAAGATTTGGGAGAATCACTTGGTTTATTCTTTTACTCTCTTTGATAATTTGTAAACTCTTTATTATTGCTATGAATTCTATATTAGCCATGTGTGGCTAAGCTTTCTTAGAGATTCTTAGGTAAAAGTATTTATGAACCTTTGTGCCTAGTTCTCATAATCTTTAATATATTTTTATTTGGGTTTTAACTTGTGTTGCAATTGTGATTATATTATTGTTGTTAGTAATTTAGGGTTCGAATTACTTGTTTCACATCTATCTTTATGTCTTAATGGGAGTTAGGGTATAATTGTGAGCACTCACAATTGCACTTAACTATTGCACATTGGGAGATGTCATATATGTTAGGGAGTTCATTCTTAGTTATTGCACATCGGGAGATGGTAGTAGTTGAGAGTTTATATTGAATACATGTTCTTTTATTGTTTGGGTGTTTATATCACGGAAGTGAATATTCACTTAGGTTAGAGATTACGGGAGTAACTCTTTCCAGTGTTTGCATTCTCACACTTGTTTAAACCCAGATTTAATATTGTTCTTAAGATTGGCACTAGGTAATTAAATACTTGAATCCCGTGAATTTCATTCTCTATCTATTATTTTCACAAACTTCATACTTTGCTCTTTAAATTAGTTTTATAATTAATCAACCATCCATGATTTTCGTTAGGATTAACTTCACAAGAATAAATTAGTAACTAGTACTTGATACGCCCGGCTTCCCTGTAGATCGATAACACGATACTCTGGGTAATTATTTATTTGAGAAATATACTGCAATCAATCCTCACGGAGTTTAAGTTTTTTTTTAAAAATGAATTCCTACCATTTGGAGTCCTCCGAGTATAGTGATTTTGCCACGTTTAGTCCTAAACTTTCAAATTGACCACTTGTGATTCTTCGAATTTCATATTGTTACCATCCGTGGTCCAAGTTAACCACCCATGGTCCTACAACTTTCGAAATCTAACTAGTTGCAATCTTCCTAGAAGGACCATATATGTGTGGTTAAAATTTGATAGCTGAATGACCATGACTGGTTAACTTGGATCACGAATGGTAGAAATTTGAAAGTCGAAGAACCACATGTGATCAAGTTAAAAATTTATAACTAAACGTGACAAAACTACTATACTCGGAGGATCCTGATATTAACTCTTTAAAAAATAAACTTAACGTTGTTATTATTATATTTTGAGAATGAGTTGAGATGGTAAAGATGTATAGAAAATATAGGTAAATTGTAATTGTAATCGTGTAATGAGTCATTTTTTAGAGTGAAATTATTTTAGAAATGCATATAACCTAAAACGGTAAAATAGAGAGTCTTCTCCACTATTCAATCAATGATTGTTTATTACATTAAGGAGACTTAAGATGGCCAACGTTGACTTGGCCGAAATTTCTACTCTTCAGTCTTCCAAATTGTGTATTGCTCTGGAAAAAGCTTTCATCCTTCCCAGTTCATTTTCTGCTAACCCAATTTCAGGTAAGACCAAAATTTCTCTCTCTGATATGAATACTCCACTCCTATGGGTTAAACTGGACTTATTCGTACTGCACTATACTGATACTTGCTTATATATATACATTTGCTTTCCCTATCTATTAGTGTCTGTTTCATTGTTTTCTTTATGCATTCAGTAGTTATATACACACATAAAGTCTTGCATTATCACTATGATTACAAGAGTCCTAATAGTGGTGAGACAGTATATATTAGTATCAGTGTGAATGCCATATATAGCATTGCTAACTTGGACATACAAGAATCACTTAATTGGCGTGAGTGACCGTGCATTTTCATCCTTTAAGAGAAGATCACAGTTCAAAATGCCACTATGCCAAATGCCCGGGTGCTAGACTTATTTTTACTGGCCTCCATCCAACAATTCCCTCTCTTAGCACCAACCAGTATTAAATGTTATTGTTGGGACTCGAACCTGTGACATGACTTTGATACCATTTGTTAGGATTAAATTATAACTAGTAGCAAATACGTAACTTTATTTCTTTATACCGTCACACATTTTCAAGACACTGAGTGTTGAACTAGGCCTTTTAAGCCCTTTACTGGCCTCTGCCCAACAATCCTCCAGCCACTGGGTGCTAGACTTGGCCTTTACTGGCCTCCACCCAACACTCCACTCCTATAGTTAGTACCTACTCAGGACATCTCGTGGTCTAAAGAAAAAAAACTTGGGACATACAAGTGTTGAAACCAAAGTTGAAAGAATAATACAAATATTAGATTGCAGAATGTGAAAGATGAACAATAACATGGAAATGAAATAAAAGAATAGAGAAGCATAAGGTTACACTCTGAAGTCTGAAGTGTTTGCAGATGAACATCTAACATGGTTATCCTAGAAATGTAAGATTAAGCCCTGAACTGCTGCAGATGAACATCTATCTCTAGCAGTATAAGATATATGTCAACCTCACTGTTCCTTTGAACTGTGTTGGATACATGTCAAGCTCATGAGCTTTGAACGTCGCATTATTCCGATGAGCCAATCCCGGGTGCTGCTGAGCTCTGGAGCCCAACGTCTCGCTATTTCAGTGACCTGGAACTTGTCTATCAACTTTGCTATCAAATCCATAAGCCATGAAACAGCGCAAATTAAACCGCACTCAAGACACTGTTTCCAATTCAATCCTGCACCATGCGTAATGAACCAATACACTACATCAAATGGAAGATGAAACACCACAAAAGCACCTGATCCAACCAAAAACAAGGGATTTTGACCGATGCCCTTGAAAATGTTCAACTCTTTCAGCCGCCTGGCACTGACTATGTTACACAACTGGCAGAAGACGAAGGCGTTGAAGATCATAGATTTATTAGCCTCTTGACTGATTCCAAGGATATCTGTTCCTTTGAGCTGAAGGGTCACAAAAATGGCAATCTGATAGGAGGATTGGAGTAGAATGTTCACCCACATTGCCTTGGTTATAAGTGGCCCAGTTGGTCTAATTGTGTCCTGGAGGTTTTCGTTTGGCTGGCCAGACAGCAATGCCAGGCCTCCTGGGAATGAGACAAGAAAGTAAATCCAGAATATTTGGATTGGGGATAATGGGGTGTCGCCCGAGGAAATTGCTGATATGAAGTTTATGAGTGAGCTAGCTATGGTCACGATCACTTCGACTTGGATAAAATTCTGCAAATTCTCATTTCTTCCGCAAATGATCATGTCAATCAACAAACTGAAGCTCCCCTTGGTAATTGTAACATTAGCACTCTGTGTGGTTATCTCTGGGTACTCACTCTGTATGGCCAATCCAATATCAGCTTCTTTCATAACCGGGGCATCACCAGATCGCTCTCCCACCACCGCTACCACTTCACCCTTTCTTCTTAAACACCTCACAATACGTTGCTTGAGCTTCGTTTTGCATTTTCCCACAACAGTGATACTAATTCCCAACTTCCCAAACATCTCTTCGTCAGGGCATTGCTGCAACTCATCACCGGAAAGGGTAAGTACCTTATCATTAGCAGCATCTGTTTCACTTATTCCAATCTCTCCGCTAACTATCTGTTTAAGCTCTGAAACATCATCTTGTTGTGAGAAAAGTACTATCTTTATGTCACGTTCCAGTAGAGATGCGATTGGACGATCTCTTGTTTCTTGCTGAGAAGTAGTATCCTTTAGCCAATCAACATTATTGTCAATACAAATTGTAGTAACCTCTGCCATCCTGACACAACTTAATTCATCTTTGTCTGAGGCCCTATCTGAGAGAGTCTTAGAGTTCCAACGTTGAATTGCTATTGCAACAACGAAAGGTACCCCTTCCATTAGTCCCACGAGTGAGACACCTATTGCCAAAACTCTGGAGCGGGATGTGAAAATGATCTTAAGGGAGTGGAGTATCCTTTCCAGTTCAGCAGGTGGTCCCTTAGGATCAGGTCTGTTTCCAGAGTCATCATCTTTCTTCCCCTTCTTGAAGCGCAAGAACGTCGCCACAAACATGAAAATGGCAAGGACAAGCCCTATTATGTAGATGATTTCACTCCCCTTGCCAATTTGAGTCTCAGTCTTGGTCTTTCTCTGAGTTGACAATGCCAATGGCTCCCTCATCATCTCGCCCAACACCGTATCATCGATGCCCTTGGATATAACTAGCATTTTGGCACTACCCTTAACCACTCTGGACCCATAAAACAAGAATGGGTTTTGCTCATTGCATTTGGATACTCTACCATCTTCATCTATTTCTGATCCCTCACCACGAACAAATAAGCCATCTGCAGGAACTAGACATCCAGCCTCTAGACAAACCAAATCGCCATAAACCAGATCAGAGACATAAATCAGAACCTCCTTCCCTCCTCTAACAACGCCTACCTTCTGCAATATTTGCTCCTTCTGTGATTTCTTCCTAGCTTTTCTTGCTTCAATCCAGTTTCGTATTGGGGTAAGGAGGAGGAGTAGAAATAGGGTCCCAAACACTATTACCCCATCAACACAACCACTCTGCAAGCCTTCTTCTTTGATGCCAAAGACAAGGGACAGCACTCCAGCCAAAAAGAGCAACGCCATAGACCACAACTTGCACGGTTCTTTGAGGGAATGGAAGTAGTTCTGTGACAGAGCCCAGTTTTGAGAAACCTGAATCATCTTTCGCTGGGAAATTTGTTCACTGTTATCCGAATTTCCGGTTTCCAGGTGACTCTTGAGTTTATTTGCAACGCCCTCCACTCCACCAAATCTTTCATTAAGAGATTGCAGGTTCTTCTCTCTGAAAATCGTTTTGAAACTCCTCTGGTGTTGGAGTTCAACACCAATATTGCCTGTTTGAGATGCTGAACCATTGTTATGCCCAAAAACTGCAGGCTCAGGTCCATCAGCACCATCATCAACTACTCCGATTTCCAGATCCTGATCAGAAATAATCCAATCCCAAAAGCATCATCAACCTATCTGGTTTCCTAATCCAGGTCAGAAATGCTAAACAAAAAGCTTCATACTTACAAGTAGATTAACATAACTGTTTATTCTGAATTTGACAAAACCTACATGAAGATGGCCTGTGCCATGACACAAACACACACACATCTGTGTTTCCAATTGACTGCGAGTACAGCTATAAAGATATATGCACATATAATCATATATATCTATCAAAACTTCAAACACTGGCTGAGGCTGGTGAAGGACCAAATCCAGTACCAGGTAGCTAAGGGATTGTTGGGCAGAGGCTTAAAGAGCCAAGTCCAGCATCCCACTCAAGATGGCTAGAGAATTATTTTGGTCCTGTTTGGTAAAATGGATGTTAGCTGATAGCTGTTAGTTGTTAGCTGATTGTGTCAATTAGATGGTATAAATAGTTGATAACATTAGCTGATTATAGAAAAATGTTTTGTAAATTAGCTGTTAGCTGATAGCTGTTTGGTATAATTTCTTTTTTCAAAAAGCTAATTGAAAAAGTGTTTGATCCTATTACGTACCTGCAGTCCATCTTGAGCATCAGTGGTGCTAAGAACGCTATAAGATGGCACCCGAGACAGAGAAGCTACAGCTGCAGCTGCCCTGCCAGCTCCAGCAATGAAGAGTTCCATCGACCAGTACAGCAAAATGAGTGGTCTCAGCTGATTATTCTGCCTCGTAGTGTTACCGTCGTGATCAGATATTGGAAACAGTGGAGATTCATTCATTTTCATTTCTGTGCTCATGTTGCCATCCTCCATATGTGCTTTCTGGGATCTGTTCCAAACAGAGAGAGACAACAAAAAGATTAGAAAGTAGAAAATTGATATATGGATCGAGTATAATATGATGAATTCGACGCTGCTCTTTTTCTAAGTGTATATTTGGAACTTGGAAGCTTCTCAGAAGTTCGGGCTGCATTACGTAGTAGTGGGATATGAATATATGATGCTTTATCATACATGTATATACATAATGTGTATATTCATACGTTTGAATGAATGTGTGTATTATCTCATTATCAAGTACTTTATACTTGTTTAACAGTCATTATCATGTTTTAACAACATCTATTCATATGTCGGACAGAGGTCAGTAAAGGACAAGTCAATCAATTGGTGGCTAAGGAATTATTGGGTGGAAGTTGGTGAAGGACCAAGTTCAACAGCCTCGACTTGAAAATATAATGACAGTCTATAAGAAAATAAAATTGGACTTTCGCTAAGAGCTATAGCTTTTATCGTATTGGAACCAAGTCATGGGTCAATTAAAATTAACAAGTGACGCAGTGGTAAGCATTTGATCCTAACACCATCTATACACACAGACCCACCAATTTTAATTTTTGCAGATTTCATGGATGTATTTTGATGTTTCTACACTTAGTATTTTACAATGTCTACACGTATTTGACAATGTCGTTTTGTTCATTTGCATAATCCGGATCTGATTTGATTTTCTGAAATAGTTTTCATGAAAATTAACTATACGCGACGATTTAATTCAGACGCGGGCATGACTTTTCTACAAGAATGAAGAAACGCATCAGCTAGGGGGAAATGGCTATTGAATTTACCTGGTGAAATAAAAGTTTTATTTTATAAGAAAGAAAATCAGTTTTATATTTTCATTACATGATTCATTGAAAAAAATGGAAACATTAATCCTTGTCTAATGACTGGTATAGTTGCAACAACAAATTGAGGCAAAATGGACACTTTAGCTCAACTAATTGTGATATTTAATGACATAACCGTCTTGGCAAACCCAACAGATATCAAAACCAAATGTCAGGAAAGGCAGCAACTTCCAGTATGCAATCAGAGATCAGAAACATACTGGCACCAAGTTTAAAATGAATAAAACAATTCTTGCTCACATTTAGTGAAACAATAACTGTGTCAACTTATCGATCTACTGAAATATAATCCTTCAACAACAAAATTATTCACTAGTACATGCCATGTTATGCCATTGGGAATGAAACCATTTGATACGCCTCTGACCAATAACATATAAGCATCATCAAGCATGCCCATTTTACAAAATGTAGAAATTAAGGTATTGTAAGAGACAGCATCAGGGGAAACTCCTTCAAATTGTAATTTTTCAAAGAGGTTCTGAGCTTCTCGAACTTTCCCCATCTTACATAGGCCATTTAACAAACTGTTATAGGTAACTATATCAGGTGTCAATCCTCGGTGTACCATCTCTCTCAGAAACTCCATTGCATTTTGCACCTTTCCCACTCTGCAATAGCCATTAATCAAAATATTACAGGATATGTTATTAGGTTGAAAGCCCTTACTCAGCATTTCTTCAAAAAGAGCTAATGCTTTCTCAACTGCTCCATCTCTGCAAAGTGCTTTGATTAGGCCATTATATGTGATTTCATCAAGGGCACATCCTCTGAAGAGCATATCATTCACTAGCTTAAGTGCGTTTTGGGTTGCACCTTTTCTCAAGAAAGAATGAATCAATGTATTGAAGGTTACTGTATTGGCAATGACTCCCTCCTCAAATATTTCTCGGTACATCCCTAGTGCTTCATCCATCTTATCAATTTTGCATAACCCAAGAATCAATGCATTATAAGTAAAAATGTCGGGTTTGCAACCTTTACTCCGCATATCACTTAAAATTTCAAATGCTTCTTGGATATTCCCTTCCTTGCAGAAAGCTGATATAAGGCAGTTATAACCCACAGTATTCAGACTGAGACTATTTGCAGACATCTCATTGATGACCTTGTAGGCTTCCTTTAGCTTCCCTTGTTTACAGAACCCATCAATTAAAATGGTATATGTTACCACATTGGGCTTAGAAGCACTAATAGACATTTCCTTCAGAGCTTCAAGAGCAGAAGACAAATCTCCATTCTTGCAATGACCTCGAATCAGAATATTATATGTATAAACATCTGGCTGACAGCCAATAGGCAACATGCTCTTACTAAGAAGAGCTTTAGCTTCATCCAACTGCCCATTAATCACATAACCATTGATCAAAGTATTAAATAGGACATTGTTTGGATCAGGCACTTTATTTAGAAGAGTCCTTGCTTCATCCACCTTTCCACACCGACATAAAGCATGCATTAAGACTCCATAAGTTATAGCATCTGGGGCGAAGCCCCGAGCAAGCATCCGATCAACCAACTTAGCAGCCTCATGAATTCGATCAGCATGGCAAAGCCCATGTATAACATCATTGAAAGTATTAACATCTGGAATGCAACCCATAAGAAACATCTCCTCCAATAGTTGCAGTCCTTCATTCACCCTATTAGCATGTGAAAGTGAATGTATCAGCATTTGGTAAATTACTGAATTCGGAACACATCCATGTTTCATCATATCCCTTAGAAGTGAGCATGCAGTATCCACCTCGTTGACCATGCAAAATGATTGTATAACTCTAGCAAAAGTGTGCACAGTTGGAGAGATACCCTTATTCAGCATCTCATAAAAAACATTTTGAGCTACCTTAGGACAATTGCCAACCACCAGAATATCTATCACAGCATTGTATGAAATAAAAGTCGGTTGGCAAGAGAATGTACTCCTCATATCCAAAAGTAGCCTGGTTGACTGCCCAGGGAAACCAGCTCTTCCGTAATGCCTCATAATCATTATAAAAAGGGACTCTCTGAAAACTATGCCTTCTTCTTTCATCTGCAATAACAGCCTATCTATAACCTTAAAATCCTTTGCAACCCCCAGCTTATCAATCAAAGTACAGTACACATCATATGTGTGGGAATACCCTATCTGCCTGCCAGCCCTTTCAAATAGCTCCATTGATGTTGGTACATCCAGAGGGAGTGCCAGTAACTTATTAAGCTGATAGGGGCTAATCTTGTTAAGTGATTTTCGGAGTTGTTTGAGGTCATAAGGCTTAAGTAAATTCTCCCATTCATTCTCCGTTTCTGATCCATTACCATTAAAATTAGTACTCGCAGGTTTGTCACCAAAGGCACAAGAACAGAATGTAAAATTAGAGTTCTTGCAGAAAAACTGTAACTTTCCATGGATGTTAATCAAAAGCTTTCGTCTTTTTATCATGTTTCTATATGGGTATCCTTGAAATTTCAAGAACTGACCGAATCAATAGACATCCAAAGCCATTGACGATTAGGAAGGCCATGACACTCTCTCCAGTTTGAACACTTATTAATGGGTTTGCTCCTTTTGAGCTTGTTTTGAAAACAATAAAGGGAGGCTTTTCACCTGTAAAACAAAATGAAAGAAGAAAGGAGGTTCTTCAAAGTTGAAATTAGAGCTGAAAAATTATATTGATTACCTTAAATATCAAAAGTCTTTAGAAATCTCGATGAAATGACAAAGTAGAGAGAAGAAGCTTTGATTACCTTAGAGAAAAGATCGACAACATAGGAGAGAATGTCACCCTTTGCCCTTGAAATTTCCCCCTTACTACATTTTACTCCTTCATGTTCAGCATGAACATATAACCATAATGTTTGCATTGTATTGGAGGTTCATTTAGGTACAGAATTGGGGTTAAGTAGGTGGAATGAATGGATTGCTTCTTAGAAGACTTTTGTCAAACATTTGGCGGGTGTTTGAGATGATAATAGTGATTTGTTTAATAAGGCTCTGTTGCAGCTCAAAATCAATAGCAACCAATCAAGCATCAAGCCGCCAACAACATAACCCGAAACAGAAGATTGATTCAACAAGCCGCTGATTCCATATTCAGAGAATTAATTGTTGGAGCTTTGCAATGGAGAATGAATTTGAAGGCAATAGGGACTCACCATGCACCGGGCAGCTGCGAATTGCGATTCATTTCTTCTTTTTTCTTTTTCTCCTCCTCCTCCTAGTTACAACTTACGATGTATACTTTCAATTCATTGAGTCGTAGCAGAAATAATTGTAGGTAGCAGAAGTTGAGGAATAACTACTGCAGCTAGAAGCTTTAAAGGGACTTTACGCCACGCAGAGATAGTCCGGCAAATTATACTTGTGGACCGCGCATCAAAACGACGTCGTTTTGTTTAATAAAAAGAAACGACACCGTTACGCGCCGTTCGCAAAAAGTAACTCTATTATTTAGTTTCATTTTGTATATATTGCAGTTTCATTTTAACACAACTATAGTTTCATTTTAACACAACTACAGTTTCATTTCGATATTTAGTTCATTTTATATACACTATAGTTTCATTAAAACACAATTACATTATCATTTCGATATAACTACAGGTTCATTGCACAATATACACTCAAATATGTGAAATGTTATTTAAATTCATTTTATATATATTACAGTTTCATTTCAACACAACTACAGTATCATTATGATATAATTACATTTTCGCTGGGCAATATTTACTCAAATATGTGAAATTGTTATTCAGTTTCATTTTGCATACACTGTAGTGTCATTTCAACACAACTACAGTTTCATTTCAATTCAATTGTAGTTTCATTCGATAATATAAAAATAATACGTGAGGCAGTGTCAGTTTAGATACACTGTAGTTTCAGTTGGTAATTAACACACCAAAATATGCACGCTCCGTTAACTGTAAGTCTGCAACGGCGCGCCGTTTCTTTACTTAAAGAAACGTCACCGTTTTTGGACCGCGGTCCACAATATAATTGCTGGAGTTGGTCCTGAATTGGCCTGGAAGAAACCGGGTCTGGGCCGGACTTAGCCCAAACCTAAATTAGTGTATAAATGATTGGTTTAAGTTTTATAAAAAAAAATAGTCTAGAGTCCAATTCGATATCGGTCCAGGTTCAAACCCAGGCACAGTCCAGGGGCAATTTATATCGTGCACCAGGGCGCACATTGCAATGTGCGCCCTGGTGCAAAACAACGTCGTTTTGTACTTCTTCTTTTTTGAAATTCTGATTTCCATGTCTGTTGTTAACTTCTTAAAAAAAATCTCATGTTTTGAAAATGTACATAATTGTATAATAGAATGTACATAATTGTATAACAGAATACACATACTCTTTTTTGAAAAGATAATACACATAATCTAACATAATACAGATAAACTCTTAACAAAATACACAAACTTTTAACTCTTAAATAATCCCTGTTTCGAATGTACATAATTGTATAAAAGAATGTACATAATTGTATAACAGAATGTACATAATTATATAACATAATGTACATAATTATATAACAGAATACAAATACACTCTGTCGCATCAACTCCCCCACACAACTTAACAAAACGACATCGTTTTGGCAGGGCGGGACGCACAATGCAGTGTGCGCCGTTGTGCACGATATAACGATTGCAATCCAGGTCCCTAATTGACTCAAGTGAATCTCAAGTCCGAGTCTAAACTCGAACAAAATCTAGCATGGACTTTATAAATTATAATCCTTTATATAATAAAGCTATATGGTTTGGGAAATAATTAATGTTACAATTAATGCCACAACATCCTTTATTATAAAAAATAAAATAAAAAAAAAACACAACATTTAAAAAATAAAATAGCTATATATTATATAATCATATAAAAAAATATACTTTTGAAAAATAAAATAGCTATATATATTATATAATCATATAAAAAATGTGTTCAATTAGAGTTTAAATTTACACATACAAAATTTGAAATTTGTTTTTCAAATGTAATTATCTTAGTTATTATTTGTATTGTGAGAATTATAATATAGATAAAATACAATTAAGAATAAATCAATGTAATTATGTAAATTATCTCTATAAGTTTATTTGAATATGCACATAATTAGAGATTATATTAACCATACAAAATTTTAATTTTAATTTTAATTGTAATTTTATATTTTATAAAAATAATAAATACTTGACCAATGGAAGCTCAAAAATATTATTATATTAAATAATTTAAAATATTTTAGTTTTTTTATTTTTTATTTATATTTATAATAACATAATTTTTTTTCCGTGCATCGTACGGATGAATTACTAGTAGAGTTAATACCACAAATGGTCCTCTGATTATTGGGGTAGTATTCCTTTTAATCCTTGACTTTCAATTCTACCAAAACACATATCTCGACTTTCATTTTTAACCACAAATAGTCATCAGTCAGTCTTTCTGTTAAGTGAGTGTTAATTTAAGGGTATTATCGTGAAATTCGTTAATTTAAAAAAAAAAAAATAAATCTAGTAGTCTTTCTTCGTTCTTTACATACATTTCTTCATCTTCTTCATATATTCCAGATACAACCATATCTGTTCACTCAGAAGTGTTCAACAAGATTTCCACATATAAAGAGGGAAATTATGGATTGAGGGAGCAATTTACAGGAAGCTTGAGCAGGAAGGGAGAAATCAACAATGTTCAACAAGATTTCCACGCATATTTCTTTCTTCTTCTACATACATTTCTTCATCTTCTTCATCTACTTCATGTTCCCAGTATAAGCTTGGGAAATTACTCTTACAAGGCATATGGGTTTTTGCAGCACGGTAAGAGTAATCATATGTAAATTAAAGCATTGGCATAATATTTAGCTTAGATTGATGAGGTTGTGTCGCATTAGACAACCAACAGCGACTCTTATCTGAGGTGATGACGTTGGAGTTGGCAATCAAGGAAGACAACGCAGTCTCTATTTTGATTCGTTTAGTGCTCGGATCAATTAGTTCCATTCTTAGAAATCTAAAATTTAAAAAATATATAAATTTGACCATAGTTGTTCAAAAAAATTTCCACAATCATGGTTATACTATTTTTGGCGGAATAATTTGTTTTGGTTGCCTGGGTTGCATGCAGCCGGATATTACTGCTCCTGGACTTAACATATTGGCAGCATGGAGTGAGATCAACACATTCCATCCCATGCTTATACTCGAACATAAAGAAGATGAAGAAATGTATGTAGAAGAAGGAAGAAAGACTAACGGATTTGACGATAATACCCTTAAATTTAATACTTACTTAACATAAAAACTAAGAGGACTATTTGTGTTAAAAAATGAAAGTCGAGGTATGTATTTTGGTCAAATTGAAAGTGGATGACTAAAAGGAGTACTACCTCAATAGTCAGAGGACCATTTGTGGTATTAACTCATTATAATACATTTTATAATATTTATAAGTTATAAAAAAAAGTTATCAATAACACAAGTTTAAATGTTATTAAAGTTTTATATATTTAAAATTTTGTAAAAAATTACATTAATTGTTTATTTAAAATTAATGGTTAAACTATTATTTTAAACAAAAAAAAAAAAAAAAAAAAAAAACTTTGAAAAAGCACACATGAGTAAATAGTGATAATTGAGGGATCAAAAGTATATTTTCTCTAAATTTAAAACTCAAGATTTATATGCAACATAAAAAAAAAAAAAAAAAAAAAAAAAAAAAAAACCTGGATAGTTTTAACCTACCTTGAGATATTCGATCACGGTTAATTGTCGCCGATTTTTTTTTTATTTAAAGAATCGACGGAATTTTCGTAGGAATTGTCGCCGGAATCTTGATGATTGGCTATTTCAGGTAAATTACCGGTAATTGGGTTTGAATGCACTAAAATGATAAGTTTAAGGTTTTTTTTTTTTTTTTTTTTTTTTTGAATACTTAATTTAAGGGTTTAATTGCACCTTTTTGAAGTTCAGGGGCCTAATAGCACTTTCGAATAAAGTTCAGAGGCATATTTGACCCTTTTCGCTAAATTTTATTACTCCGTATATTGTATAAAATTTGACATATAAATTATATTTATAACTTAATAATAAGTACATCTATTTGTTTCAAATATTCAAAGATTCAAATATATATATATATATATATATATATATATATATATATATATATATATATTTATCTATAAGTGCAGGTGTGGAGCGTGAATACCTCACGCTACACTCGCCTACATACCTGTTGTCCACGGGTATAAAAAAAATTTCCCTATACCTACCCTTATTACTCAAATCATGCGGATATTTTACTACCCAATAGGACGGAGATATGGGTAACATGTTGAGTGCGGATAGAATTGTCATTCCTATCTTGAGATTTCAAAGAAGGACCCATCGAGAAAAAGCCTTAGTGATATTGCCCTAGCTCAAGGTTGAAGAGCATTCAATGTGTGTGTAACACCCCACTTTTTCTAAATCTTAATTAAAATTCTAAACCACAATTAACATAAACTAAGCAGCAGATAAACAACTAGATTAGCAAACTAGTGGGAATGTCACCGCCACAACCACCACTCCATGGTGATTGCACAGGCTAAGGGTAGAACTAGAAATAAAGATAAATTAACTAGCATCCATAAACTTAACTGAAAGTCATAAGGGGCCGGGGAATAAGACACCCCGAAGTCTACATCATCAAACGTCATCAACAACATAAGTCTAAATTCCGATCAATAACTTCATAATCAAAACATTAAGAGTTTAGACTTCTATAACTACTAGACTAGTATAACTCGTTCACTTCCCAATGTTGGGCCCACCTGAAAGGGGTTTTACAAACAACACATAAACAAATAGGAAAACACCCGTTAGCACGAAGTTAAGTATAACCACACTCAACCCTGTAAAGTACTATAGAATATACTTGGAAAAACATTTGATCGCATTCATAATCAACAATCTCATCGCAAAAGCAATTTAGATACATTTCAGTCTTTCTATATGCTTACAACCTATAGTATCAACAAGCATGGTTTAATACAAATGACTCAATAACATAGATATTCCAACACATAAACATCACAACAACATTATCAAAACGAACTCATGGTTGCAAGTAATTTCATACTAATAAACCAAACGAAAGTTGCTCTCATGCTTTCAAGTTCTCATCATGCAACCAGGTTATACAATACTTCAAAATGCAACCAAATAATCATTCTCATAAACGAACTCAGCTAGTCATTCTCATTATGCAATTCATGCAATACTACACTCTCATGCAATCTCGTGCAATACTATACTTTAATGCAATCTCGTGCAATATTATAAATGTACTCAAATGCAATCTCGTGCAATACCATAAATATACTCATACACTCGTTGTAAAATAGAATACTTTCTATGGAGGTCTCATTGAGTCATAAATGACTTGCTTTCTTTCTTTCTTTCTTTTCTTAGAGTCGCAATGACTCACTTCTTTCTTTCTTAGAGTCGCAATGACTCACTCTTTCTCTTTAAATGGACAAGGTAGGAACTTCACCATAGTGTGAATGAACCTATCCGGGCACGGCGTCTAGCTGACCTAATATTCTGCTCGTCCACCGAACCACTCTCTTGGTTCTATGCTCAAACTCTGTGGAATCAGGTATCGAACTATTAGTGTGCACACCCCCTGACCAGGATTCAAAGCCTAGCGGGCAGTTTCCAACCACGTAACGTGGGAATACACCGCGTTACATATACTGGGACCGCAATGTCCATAAAATCATCCGAGAGGACATAGTCCAAACGGGATCCTCCAAAACCTCACCAATATAGATAACATATAAATATATCTCTCATGCATCATTCTCATGCATGCAACAACTCAACAACTTCTCAATGCATCAAATAATGATATACCACATGCTTATGGATTTTGAAAGTAATACTTAGGCTCACGTTGGCCACTTATGCACTTTTTAAAACATGATATACTTGAGATGCAAAAATACTATACAACATGCTCCAAATCTATGTATATAATTCATAAAATTCTCAAGAATACAATCTCATGCTAGGCTTGCAACATAACAAATTTTATATAATTCCATCATCAAAATATACTCCAAATCCCATTGATCAAACAACACATTTTAGACATGCTTTTCTAATAAGTCACATTCTCAAAGTGATCATGCTTCTCTACTCAACGCAAAAATAGCATCAGGCACAAAGCAAAGCATTTCTCATATACAGTGAACTTCACAATATATACTGTGAAGCAATTTCTTCAATAAATCCATCACAACATGCTCATTTTTTTTATCCAAATTCAACGAAATCAAAGCCAAAACGTGCGTCGAGATGGCCCCGAGGTATCGAGCCACAAGGGCCCGTGACACCTGGCCCGAAACGACACATAGCTGAGCCACAAGGGCCCGGCCACTGCACAAAACACACTCAGAACATACTCAAAGACCTGGGGGCGGGGCTCCTCATGAGCCGCCCCCTAAGGCCGTAACAGAGCCGGGCCTAGGCAACGGCCCTCTCCTATGGCCGTGCCCTAGGCACGGTTGGCCCCGGCTCTAGCCGGCGGCCCCCTTGATGGGCCGCGGCTAGGGCCGTTACACTAGTCTGGTGCACACTGTGTGTGCACTAGATAGGTTGTATCACCTGCAAATTCAATCCCAAACCAGTCCAACACATCCAAAACATTATCAACACCTCATAAACAAGTAATAGATCACTTCCTCGCTCAAACACAACAAGAATCTACCATTTCTACTCATTTCTATTCAAGAAACTAGGCTTTACAGAGCCAAAATAAAGAGAGGGAGTCCATGGGGTTATATCTTTGTTGCCTCTTCTTCTTGTATGGATCCCCTCTTCCTCTCTACTTAGCTAGCTCCTCCCTCACTTCCTAAACTCCTCAAACAAACCATACAAAGAACACATAAGGGAGGAATCTCAGAGATTCAAGGCAAAGAGATGAAAACCATAAGAAGGAAGATGAAGGCTAAGAGACTTACTGTGTTTTTGTTTTCTCCTTCAACAAAGAGCTCAAAGAGAGGCAAAGAAATGGGATCAGGTCAAACAATGAGGTTACTATTCTATTTATATGGCTCAAAACCCTAGGATAATCTCCAATTATTGGTGGAGGGTAAATATGGCAAAAAGATTTGCTAAAGAATGCATCAGGCAAAGGCTTTTGGGAGCTTGTGGTTCACCTAGCAACATGGATCTAAGTCTAGAAGGATAGATTTAAATAGTTTGGGGGTCAAAATAGATTTTTCCAAAAATGATTTCTATATAAACACTTAGTTCAGGTTTCTCAGATTTCTCTCGGTTTCACTCAGATAGGTTTCTCAGTTTAAAACTTGGTACGCGAAATACCCGAAAATTTAG